CTAGGGTTAAAAGACTTCGACTCGAATTAGTATTCAGTTTTAGTCTTAAGACTCAAGACTTGAGGGTTAAAAGACTAGACTAGTCGTGAGGCTTCAAAAATGAGTCGAGTTTTTTTAAAAGGCCTTAAAAGACTGAGTCTTTTCACTCACAATTTTACAATCACTGATCTTACTTGATGCGTCGCCAGTGCCCATAATGGTGCAGTATTCCGTTAGTTGCAAGAATAACCAAAATAATTTTAAAATTGCAAAAAACAATAAATTAATACGGTTACTGCCAGTTGTCTTTCGCACATGCATGAAAATTACATTAAATAAAAATACAAAATTACAGAAAAAATACATAACTAGACGGAAGGAATTCTGGAATACTGTTCACTGGTTTGATACACCGTGTATGACATCGACGTCCACGTTGCATTGAAAGAATAATTTGTTCTAAATCTGTCTTTTTTTAAGTTTATTAGATGAACATAACAGTCGACATCCATACATACATACATACATATACTTCACGCCTTTTTCCCATCGGGGTAGGCAGAGACAACAGTCTTCCACTTGCTACGGTCCTGACACACATCCTTCGCCTCATCAACACGCATCAATGCTTTCATACACACTCGTCGGTTAAGGGTACTCTTGATCTGGCCCTTCTTTAGGATGGCCTCAATTTGGTCATGATACGTTCTCCTTGGTCGGCCCATACCAACTTGCCCGCTCACACTCGCCTTATAAATCTGTTTCGTCACTCTTCTTTCATTCATTCTCTCTACATGTCCGAACCATCTAAGCATCCCTTTCTCTATCTTTGTCACTATATCTTCTTCCACGCCGCAACGCTCTCTTATCACACTGTTCCGTAATTTATCCATCCGAGTCACTCCAGCCATACTCCTCAAAGCTCTCATTTCTACTGCATTAATTCTACTTTCATACTTCTTCTGCCAAACCCAACATTCACTACCATACATAAGTGTAGGAACCAGCACCCCCCCATGCACAGCCAATCGTGCCTTTTTAGACACTTTCTGGCTACCCATGAAGGTATGCAAGGCACCATTCACCTGATTCCCTGCATTCACTCTTCTTTCAATGTCTCTTTCACATTTTCCATCACACGTAAACGTAGAACCCAAATACACAAACTCTTTCACTTGATCCACTTTCTCTCCTTCAATCAATATTGTGCAAATCGTCATATCTTCCTCTCTTTCAAAAACCATTACCTTTGTCTTTCCCACATTAATTTTCATTCCTTTCCTTTTCAGAGCACCATGCATAATATTTACCATCTCCTGCAACTCCTCCACTGACGACGCTAATACCACTGGGTATTGGGCGTATAGGAGGCACTTGATGAGTAAACCATTCATTCTCAGCCCACACGTACTCTCTTTCAAAACTTTCAAACAATTGTCCATAATTAGGTTGAACAGCCATGGCGACGCTACACATCCCTGTCTAACACCTTTCCCGATATCGAACCAGTCAGTGTAAGCACCATTTATTCTGACACAGGCACTGGAATCCTCATAGAGAGATTTCAGTGCCTGAACTAGACTGCCGTCCACCCCATACATAGGCAAAGTCGACCACAATTCTTTCCTTGATACTCTGTCGTAGGCCTTCTCCAAGTCTATAAAAGCGCAATAGACTTTTTCCCAAAAAAGTCTTTTAGCCAAAAACTTTTCGGTTATGTTACGCAAGGAGAAGACCTGATCCATGCATCCCATTCCTCTTCTAAATCCCGCTTGCACGTCCCAAATTTTTTCTTCCGTTTCTTTCATCACTCTCTCAATCAATACCTTTGCATATAATTTGCCGACAATGCTAAGAAGACTGATTCCGCGGTAATTTTTGCAGTCTTGCTGCGACCCTTTTCCCTTATATAATGGTATGATGACAGCCTTGCCCCAGTCTCCTGGCACTCGGCCGCTTGACCAACAAAGGTTGAAAAGGCGGTATAGCTGACTAGCGATCACACCCTGTCCAGCCCTCAGCATTTCAACAGTAATTCTGTCATATCCCGCAGCTGTACCAGATTTCATAGTATTCAATGCCTTTATAATCTCTTCCATGCTTATACTTTCATTTTGACTTCCGCTCGTCTCTATGGCGATCTGAGCCTGCATTTGTACATCTTCCTTTTCAAACAAACTTTCAAAATACTCCTTCCATCTCTTTAATACGCATTCTTCTCCTTTCACTATACTGCCATCGTGGCCTCTGATTTTTTGCAGTTGCGAGGTTGTGGTTTTGCCTCTAGCTGTTCTTAAGGACTTCCAAAACCACTTAATGTTGCTTTGAAAGTCATCAGATAATCTCCTGTCAAACTCGTCTTTCTGGCACTCTTTCTTCCTTCCCACAACATCTTTCGCTACATCTTTTATTCTTTTATACTCTTTCCTTGCCTTGTTTACATCCTCTTTCGTTGCCTTTTGTATTCTTTCATTAGCTTTCATAGATAACCAATCTAACCACGCTTTCTTCTTATCAGACAGAACATTACGGACATCTTCATCCAAACAAACATTCCTCATCTTCAGCCCTTTTTTCCTTTTGGATACTCCACACATATCAGTAGCGACCTCTACCATTCCTTCCTTAAATAGCTTCCATAAATCTTCAATCCTACATACTTCTTCTATTCCATCAAACCTTTCAATCAGTTTACTCACATATTCATTTTTCACATCTGTCTTCTGCAAATTCTCAACTTTTATTCGTTCTAGCACACTAACAGGTTCCTTCACTCGATGCCGCCACCTTGTAAAAAGACCACCTATTCGGCTAACCACCAGAAAGTGGTCGGTGTCGATACCAACTCCACGGTATGCTCGCGTGTCAAGCACCTTTTTTCCTAATCTTTCATCCACTATTACAAAATCTATCATACTCCTCAAACTTCCTTCTGCTCTTGTATACATGTGGATCTTTTTGTGTTGAAACATGGTGTTTGTCACTAAAAGATTCCACTCCAAACATACTTCGAGTAGACACTTTCCATTATCGTTCACTCTTTCATCTCCAAACGTTCCAAACACATTTTCATATCCATCACGCTTCACTCCTACCCATCCATTGAAATCTCCTAACATGATAATCCTTTCATTTTGTTGACTTTTATTCAAAACCTCTCTTACACTGTCCCAAAATTCCTCTCTTTCTATTTGGGCTTTGGTGATCTGCTTTGAACCCGTATCTGTCGGAGCATAAACCCCTAAAATAAAGATGCGAGTCAGGCCAACTTTCAACCTCACCCATAGGAGTCTAGGGCTTACACACTCAAACTCAAGAACACATTCATTCATTCTAGAAGAAAAGAATACGCCAACTCCTTGGCACCCTCTGCAGGTTTCGGGCACTCCTGACCAGTACGCTGTGTGCCATGCGTCGTCGTATCGCATCCTTTTCTCTTCGTCTCATTCACACAAAGAACATCAATTCTTCTTTCATTCATCATCTTACATACTTCTTCTATTTTATCATTCATACCTCCTCTAACATTCAAAGTAGCAAAGTGGCTTTCTGCTGTCCACTTTCCGCCCCCGCGGAAACCGAGACGTGACGGGTGGCGAACCACATCGCCGCCATTTTGGTTGTTATTTAACAAAGTAACCATTGCAGTCCCACGAGAAGCTGGGGAAAAATATAAGTCCATCCTGGCAGTGCCCCGCTTGCCAGGGTAAAGCTAACCTATTTCTGGGTTCGCTCGGTCCCAGGGTTTGTGGCACACTTTCGACTAGGCATGCCTCTAACCACGCATCCATAGGCACGGCAACCGTAGATTGGCGGAGGGGAAGGAAATAAAAATAGGATTGGTAAAGGATGTGGTCAGGGGGGAAGGAGAAAATGGATATTGGGAAATGAAATTTAGGTATAGGATACTACTGTCTCGGAAGGAAAATAGGAGATTAGAGACGGTAGTAGCTCGGGGAGCCGGGGTCACATACCCGCGTACTTGTTATGGAATTACAAGTACCCCTGACTAACATCCAACATAGATTAACACATTAATTTGTTTAAAACTAGATTTTAACCATAATGCCAACCAGGAGCGTGTACGTACGGCATGTTTATGAAAGTTACTGTCAATTAAACTACAAAATTTATACCAATATAAATTTTGTAGTTGTTTGTTTTGAACCAATTCCAACATATAAAAGAAAATACACAAAAAGAAAGAAAAAGTGTTAAAATGAATATAATTATTATTTAAATTTTTATAGTTTAACTGTACTACATGAGGACATCTGAGACAGACTTTTTAAATACGTGACACTTAGAATAAAATATATCTAGTTGTTTATTGTCCTTAATAAGGTCATTATATGTGCGACACATTTTTGTTATGGGATTGTAAAAAATGTGTTGTTTTTAAAAACATTTAGGTCAAAAGCCTTTGCCTTAAAACTGTTATATCTATAGACATTCTTAATATGGTATACATTTAAATAATAGTTCTCTATAAATGGTTTTACAAAAAAGAAATTGTTCTTATAGACTTATTTCACTCAAGTCAAAATTTTAACACCTTCTTAATACCAAACAACTTAATTAAGTGTAATCTCTATTAAGATTTACTCTTATAGTCCTTATTTTAAGTTCATCTGTAGAACAACTGATTATTAATAGTAAAATTGTTCTATACACATCCAGTAAAGTCTAATTCATACTCTAAAAACTAGTGTATATACAATACTATATATAATACTTATATTGGATGTTACATAGCCATGTTACTAAGCAACATAGACAATACACGTAATATACCTAACACAATTATATAATATAAAGAAAAGTTAAGAAAGTCCATAATAGGCAAGCGATAAACCCGCTGCGGTCAAGTGAGGAATGTGATACAAGAACTAAGTTTAACGACAGCTACCAGTAAACAAATCGATCCGAAATGCATCGTCAAACAATGGAAGACCATATAGCCCGAACGCCGCTGTAAGACCTTCAAAGTATTTGTGTCAAATTGTTTTCAAATGTTACAGATAACCTGAATATATAGGCGTCGGCGCATGGGCAGCCTACCCGAACTAACGGAGCGCGCGCGACCGTCCCGCGCCGCGCGAACCGTCTCCGACCCACACCGTCATCGTGCTATCATCACTCAGGTAGATATACATTTTAATAGATTGATTACAACTTGCGACTGTGTCTCAGTCTCGCTGAGTCTAAAACGTGTTACAATCTTGTGACCATTTTTTCCAGTTACCAGTCAGTACGATATACAAAAAAGAATGGCTTTGGAGGAAGCCGAAAACTCCGTTGCGGGCAGTGCCCGTTGCGCCGAATCGAAGAAGGGATTCTGCCACGTCCTCTGTTGGAGCTGCGTCAGTGCGCCGTCTAATCACTCGACAACCACCGAAAGTCCCACAACCTCTCGTCAGACGATTCACTCTACTCTGCATATCAAGCGGTCTTTGCGCCACTGCCCTAGTTCCGTTCACAGCCTTTGCTGGTGCCGAAGCTGGGGCCATGCCTTTAGCAGTCATGCACAGTGTCGCAGCAATCATTGCTCCCTTCTCACCCCTAATTCTTCAAAAGACTGGAACTAGAATAGTCATAACATTAGCTCATTTATTCGTTTGTGTTCTGTTATCAGCGCATACTGTTGCGACTCCACTATCGGTGCTTCTGCCCTTGTACGGGCTATGTGGAGTTACGTTGTCGCCGATGTCTTTGGCATTATCAGTGTCAGCCACTAATTTAGCACAAGCAGCTGGTGATGAACGGAGAAGAAAAATTGCTCTGAGAAGAGCTTTACGAGCGCTTCGAGCTGCTCAAGATTTGGGCTTGGTATTCGGTGCTCTGATGCTAGGAGGAGCGTTGACGATCTGGCCAGAAGATTTGACACCGCTGTCGCTGACGCCACTCCCGACGAACACGTCTTTACCAAAATGGCCTCCAACTGAAGATGAATATTTTCTGGAAGATGATTATGAGGTTTGTATTTTTAAGTTAATTATGATCAATGTGTATTAATTCTGTGATTAAAAATACATATAACAAAGCGCACGCATATTTCTCAAAACAGTTTCCAGACGCATGTTATCGAATGATCAGATTTATGATGGATATCGAAACTGTTTCAAGGAGCGAACATGCGGTGCTGCGGGCTGCCCAGATACACAAGCCGTATTAGGCACTGTATTAAGCGCAGAGGGTCGAAGGATCCTCGTTGCGGCCTGGGCCTTTCTGGCCCTCATAGCGATCGGGCTGGGTGTGTATGGGGCTACCTCGTCTCCCGCGCCGCCACCAGACACTCGCTCTACGCTGCGAGATCCGAGAGCGCTGCTCGGCGTGCCGATGGGATTCTTCATCGGTTTACATCAGGGATTCATATACACTTCTTATATGAAGGTAAAAGATTTCTCCCTGGGCTGTTACTATTATCGCCATCATCCTGAACTTAATACTTCAATATTTCTTCGTGTAATTGAATTTGCAGTGGTACGGCGTTTGCGTAGGTGGTTGGGCATGCGCATGGCGTGCTTTACTGGGCGCGGGGGCACTGCAGTCGCTCACCGCCGCCACACTCAGTATGGCAGCCGCCAGAGGGCGTCGCATCGCACTAGCTGCAGGTTAGTTTTGATTGTGTACCATCCTACTTAATTGCAAAGAAAAAAAACTAGCGCAATGATAGGCAATGAGATTTAAAACTTACCTACCCATTCATAATGTTAAAATACTTAGAAAGCGGCATTACTTACCACTAGTGGATCATTTGTTTGCCAGTTCGTGTACCTACCACGTGATGTTTGCATTGTGTGACAGGCGGGTGTGCGGCGCACGCGTCTCTGATGCTGGCGCTGCTGCGCTGGCGCGCGGCGCGCACGGACCTGGCGCTGCCCGCGGTAGCCGCCGCTGCGTGGGGCGCTTGCGCCGCGCTGTGGGACGTGCTGCAGGTAAACAACGGTCTGCGCGACCGTTTTGCGATTCCCGTATAAGCGAGCTGTCAGCTGAAATAAGCCTAAAGCAATATAAAACCTCGCTATCGTATATTACCTTGTTGTAATGTAGTCTCGACCGTCATATCGACGCGGCAATCCGCAAAACGCAACTATTTTTTTTTGTACAAATGTGTTGTACAAAAAAATATCCGAAATCCCACTAAAATCGTTTAAATATGTTTGTTTTCAATTACATAGAAGCACCAACATTACGCACGTAGAAGTAGTTTCACATTTCGCATCGGGCCGTGGTAGACTACCGCCTACATCCCGTCCCAAGATCAGACCAGTGCCCAGCACTTGCCTCAGGCGTGGTGGATTGGTGATGATATGAGTAGGTTTTACGCTAACGCCCACCTGTTCCGCAGAGCGGCGTCTGCGTGGGCGGCGCGGGCTGGCGCGGGCCGTGGGCCGCCACGCTGTGCGCGCGCCACTTGGGGCTGGCGCTGGCGTGCGCGGCGCGCCTGGCGCTGTGCGTGCGCACGCAGCTGGCGGCGCTGGCCGTCGCGCTCGCCGCCGCCATCGCCACGCACGCCGCGCTGGAGCTCAGGCTGCGGAGGGGTCAGTAACCTGTCCCGCGTAAACCTGTCGGATCTAGTGAAGTCATAGGAAATCTGCAGAAAGTGAAGAAGAGCATGTGAAAAGAGCTTAGAGCGTATACGGAATGCGTCTTCCGTGTCCGCAGGTGCTATCGAGACCAGAGAACAAATAAGTAATATCGAGACGATCGTCAAGTGCATTGAATTTAACTGCATCCGTGGCCGAACGGTTACCATGCCGGACTGACACGCAGAGGTCCCAGGTTCGATTCCCGAGCCGGGAGAAATATTTGTATGGCCTACAGTTATTTCTCTCGTGAGTTTGGGTGTAATTTGTGGTTGTCTATGTGTGTGTCCATGGCACCCGCGACACAGGGTTTCTCTAGTGCGGGGCTATGTTGACTGTGTGCGTTATTATTTATTGAATCATCAGACGATCGCACATCACAGAGCAAATAACACAACCTACATAGTCTCTTAACAGTGTTGGGGGTTTCAAGCAATGCAAAAAATCTCAGCGGTTGGACAAGACTTTACGCGGGAAGACCCGGCTTCGATTTTCGATTCGATTCAAAGACATTGAATGTAAGGTTTCGTTATCATGGGCTTTACTTTTCAACGTAATTATTTAATTACTTTTTTGTAAACTGTAATTAATGCTTTATATTTTCAAGAATTGTAAAGTGTCCTTCCTGGCCAGGAGCGGAAGCAGCTCGGCACAGGTCCTAGCGAAGGGCCCCGGCGCATCAGACGTTGACCACGTCCCTGACAGCCAACTCGGACGATGTCGGCGGCATCGATGAGCCCGTGCACATCATTAGTTAACCTATACCATTGCTCAACCCCTCTCAGGGTGTTACCGCACTTCTCAGGCATTTAACATCTTAATGGTCTTCGCTCATAATTATATACTCGCGGCAAACGCGTCAGTGTACCACGAAACATTGAAAAGTGAGCTTTATCTCTCGAACCGTATAGTAAAATGGAAAATACTTACCTATATAAAAGCAGAGGTATGCGGTTGTCTTTCATTATACTTTCTTATATACATGTATTTTTCTCAAGAGTACTGCGACAAACCCTTCACGATTCCAAGGCTTTATCAAGGTACCCCCTTAGGCCATTACTTATACCAGTTGAGTCGGTTGCATTTACCGCTGGTCCTTTCTAGTACCAGGGTCCAATAACTGAAGAGGACTGCTAATCTTCAGACTACAGATCGTGGCACTGAAAAAGGTCAATATTTCGTCTTATATCTACATGGCGCTGATCAATAGCCTGGAAGAAGTTTATAGTATGTAAATTGCCGTGGAAATCAATTAATTCTTCTTAAATATGAAATATAAGAAGTTATAGCGTGCGACAGGCTTCCTCCTAGGTCAAGTCGGGGTAGACCCCCGGCTCGTTACCAAACTGATTGAACCGGGGGTCTGCGTCGATTGGACACTGGCATTTGGACGCGCCCATCTCCCACGCCTGTTCTACCTTTTTCTTGTAATTTTGTATGTGTTTCGAGTGTCCTATATTTTTCCAATACTGAAATTCCATACGTGTAAGTTGTCAGTCTGTAATTAAACCACGAGTGCCTGAACTTGTGCTGTGTTTTATTTGTGCATAGGACGTTTAGCACGTGTGCATAGGACGTGTGCATAGGAGAGTTATTCAACCTTATCCCTTCCTCTCCTTTCCATCAGCGGACCACCCGTGCCGGACTGCGTTGCCACAGTTGGACGGTCAGTTTAATACCGTCCCGCACTAAAAAGTTTGGCAATTCGTTCTTATGCCGAACCATCAAATTGTGGAACCAACTCCCGGCGCATGTATTCCCTCCCCTCTATAACATCGGGTCCTTCAAACGTAGTGTGAAGAAGCATTTGGCCAGACCGGCAAAATGATAGTGACGGAGTGAAGATATTTGTGTTTTCCATCCGTTACTCTCATCTCTGGACTGTATTCGCACTTTCCATCAGGCGCGGTGCAGTCATTTTGCCGAGTCACAATAAAAAAAAAAAAAAGGACATCATAGGGCCGCTACATATTTGGCGCCCAACGTGGGGCCGAAATGTCTCAATAACTTGAAAGCTTTTTAGTGCCACACAAACGCCACAGCGGTAGAAAGCATTTAAATTATTTGTTTGTATTATTCAAATATTGATCATGTGCTAAAATTATTTTCTGAACATTGAGAAATATGCTTGTCAATAGATGGCAGTGTGTGATACAAACTAATTTATAAATTGACGCTTCCTAATATGTACCCATGGTCCTAATCCTAAACGAAATAAAACAGCCGGCACTATCCATAAAAAATCCATGCAATAAGCGCAATCTAGTTGATTTGTTTGTTCTTCTTCTTCTTAAGGTGCCTCTCCAACTAGTGAAGGTTGGCACTCGCTACCCCAGTCCACTCTCATATGTTCCTCAGCCTCGATTTTTGCCTACGACCAGCTTTCCTTTTACCAGTGACATTTCCCATCGTTATCAGTTGCAGAACCTCGTATCTGTCATGCCTAAGTACATGACTCAGATAGGCAACATTTGTCTGTTTGATGGTCTGCAAAAGTTTTGCAGATCACGCTTCTGTCCAACTAGTCGCAGAACTTCGTCACTGGTAACTTTCCGAGTCCATGATAAGTGCTGCCACATTTCAAATGCTTCAATACGTTTCCTGAGATGCTCTTTTATTGTCAAGGCCTCACTTCCGTATAAAAGTACTGGCCAGATGTAACACTGAAGAAGTCGAGTGCGCAAAGGAATCTTAGACCACGGCAGCATAATACTTTCCTCATAGTATTAAAGGCACTAATGGCAACTTCAATGCGGGTTTTAATTTCAGTTTCACTGTCCCAGTCTTCAGTTAGCCACGTGCCTAGATATTTGTATTTGCAGACCCGCTCAAGTCCTTATGATTTTTTAGAGATAACCATGAATTTAGTAGAAAACTACCGGCCTTCACACTTGACATTAACATTTGTTTGTTATCACTAGAAATTAGAGTAGGTTTGATAAATTGCAACTTGTCAATGTAAAACAAATAAAGTTACAAAAATAGCCATTTGGTACTCGTCGCGACATCTAGTGTACCAAAAGGTTCTAAATACACGACTACGCTGTCTTGTATCACGACTAGCACTCCCATCTTGACACCTAGAACCTCTTGAAGTCTGACTTTTGTAAGTGTACTTGTACATAATAATAGTAAAAAGCTCTCCTTAAAATTTTTCTTCTTCGCTACATTACCGATCAAAGGAATAGTGGTACACATGAGTGATGACCAAAAGCAATCTTGTGTATGTAAGAAATCTGTATAAAGTGTCACTGCAGAACGTCATGTTAATGGCGTAAGGTATAATTTTCAAGAAATAAAGTTTTTCTATAATGAGATTCATGTAGATGTAGCTTCACCTGTTATCTACTTTCTATCACTTGCTAAGTGTTCCAAACACTTATAACTGGTGTGATCTACATAATTAAATTTCATAATTTTATGAGCTGCAAAGATAATAGGATATGAGATTTTATGACGTACTCCTATAAGGATGTTAAATGAAATAAATGGCTTTTCAGGCCCAAATTGTGACTAGAAAGTAACTTAATAAAATCTCCGTTGTATTGAATTTTCTAACACAATATCTAAGTAAGTACTATTTTCTTAGGAATAATGTGATTCAAATATAATATTAAAATAAGAATTGTACCTATCTCTCACACGCAAATAAAACACACACACGCACGCGCGCACACTCACGCACGCGTGCACTCTCACGCACGCGCGCACACACACACACACACACACACACAAACAAACACACACACAAACAAACACACACACAAACACACACACCTTATTTTGGAAAGTCAATTATAATGGCTAGATAGAATCTCTGGTAAGGTTAGGTTAGGTGAGATGGAGGTCATGTGGAGTGACCTCCATCTCACCCAATAGAAAGTGACGATGAAGCATGTACACCTAAATAATGTCTATTCACTCTCGCCTTGAAAAGGCCCAAGTTATAACGTTCAGGGAACAAATCTCCAGGCAGGGGATTTCACTTAATAATAGCCGTGCGCCACATAAACGTGGAATAGAAAGGAAGAAAGAAAATACATTGATTTGTTTACCACAATGACACCACAAATAAAAAACCAAACAAAATAGAAGAAAAACAAAACATAATCAAAACATTCAAGGTTAAACAAACAAACAATTACGAAACAAAAACAAAATAAAAAAATATAAAAAATTTGATTAAATTAAAACACGCACTATTTATTCACACAAAAAGCAAAAAGAACACTAGATATAAAGATGGAATGGGGAAGGCGGAACTAGATCGTGCAATTCCCTCGCACTCTCCGTGATATATCCTGTAGAAAACCGATAAACAGGTAACATTCCGGCGGTATTCAAGACTCTGTAACTTTATCTCTACTAATTCCAAGTCACCTATTCCTAACACACTTTTCAACTGAATCTAAGGTGCCCAGTGTCCTTTACACACGATTTCCACGTGGGTCCTTTGGTGTGCCGCTTTTGCATTTTCTGCAAATACATACATATTATTCTGTTATATTTATTATAGTTATACGATCTCCCACTGTGGTTGGCAGAGACTATGCAAACATTTTACGGCAAATAATTCCTGTAAATATAACAAAAACTATTTTAAGCACATCAAAAACTATTAGTTCTAAGTGCGTAAATATTAAGGATTTTAAACTTTTCTATACTCGCACAGTATGACTCTTCACCGTTTTCTAATATTTTTAAGCTCATCTATCAAATTTAAGAAAATACATGTAATAATTGCTTTTATTTTCTACTTCAACTCCAATGTATAAGAAATATTGTTAAGTGGTTTGAATGTGCTAGAATAGAGTTGTATTCGAAACAGATGAATAAATTATTGATTGTTGACTGATGTCGTGTTTCTCTCATATCGATACGGAATCCTATTAGGCCGGGCAAAACGAAGTAAAAGTGAAATAACTTTTATTTCATAGTAAGTACATTACACTTGAAATCGTCATATTGATTAAATAAATAAATAAATAAAATGTTTTGTTTGTTCATCGTGCGAGCGTGCGTGCGTGCGTGCGTGCGTGCGTGTGACGTGCGTGAGACGTGCGTGCATGCGTGCGTGTGTGCATATTTAAACAAGCATGCATGCATGATTAAGCTCTACTACTCATTCGTAAGGCAGATTCCCCTGAGATGAATGAGCAAGAAACTGCAGGAATTACTCTTTGTAAATAAACATTTGTACACATCATACGAGGATTTCGCCATAACCGCAATTTTCTGTGTCCATGCACCAAAATCCACTTATTTATTAAAACAAAAATCTACAAAAAAAAGAGAGTACAATATATATCGAAAGCTAACTGGAGAGCACAAAATTTTCCCAATAAACCTTTCGGACCTTATCGAAAAAAAATCCGAAAGGTCTAAAACCTGACAACGGTGGCGTGTCTCGAATGCAGAATCACAAAGTGTCATTTTTCTCAAAATTGAAACCGTAGGTACATCAATATTAGACTTTACTTCACGTATAATATATTAGATCACAGTACTTCTAATCTGAATTTCACAACAAACTACACAATAGTTTTATCACAATACTAAAATTGCTGCGTGTCCCAGGCTAACGAGGTAATTCGGTGGTAGTGAAGTGAAGCATTTTAGAAGCTTCGGAATACCTTCGTATAGTTCGTCCATCACGCCCTTGCGGCTGGATCTTTCCAGTTCCTGTTGTTACAGGTGGACGATTTGTTGACGATTTTAGGACTTTTTGCGTATAAATACGTAACTCGGTGGATTTGGTCCAGGTTGATTTTTGAACTCGGTGTATACGATATTTCAAACACGAAATTTTATGGTTGTATGTAATATTTTTTATGCTATGTGTTGTAACGACTAAAATATAATAACAATTTATTGGTTTTACAAGAATTATCGTTTCCGAGTAATGTTAAAAATATTTATATTTTCTGAATCCCGTGTATTGGATTCGGTGGATTTTATGTCACCGAATCAGGAAACTTCCACCGAAGTCGGAAAAACCTGCCATAGAAGCCATATTTTTTTCAAAGCAAGTACTTTATACGTTTTTTCATATAAACTTTTAGTTAATACTGTTGATTTTCACAACTTTATATTACAGAAACCAAAAATTGGAAATCAAAAGAATAAGGAACGTGCTAGAAAAGCAAAGATAAAAAGCAATCCGATTATATATGAAAGGTTTAAAGAAAAAGATAGACGGAGGTATGCGAAGGAAAAGCGGAAGGAGCGCTATTGTGGTCGAGTTATGAATAAATTTTAGTTTTAAAAGCCTAGTTTAATAGTTAATCATATTAGTAAATGTTTATCTAGATTATTGAATATTTTTAATGCCTTTTTCATAATATTTACACAAAAATTACGCCTTTTGTCAAGAAATATGTGGTAGCTGAATTCGGTGGATCAAATATGTCACTAAGTGTTAAGAATCTAGTTGCCCAATTAACGGAATCTTATGTAAGTTTGAGTTATTTTTCCTTCCCGCTCAATGTTTTTTTCTGAAATCAAGAAAAAAAATTCGACCACTGAAGTCAGAGAATTTAACCCTTTTAGGAGAAATGCCCATATGCAATATTTACTTCAAACATCATAACGTCGAGACTACCTGCA